ACAGAATCTGAATTTATAGTCAGCAGTAAATAAATTTCGGCCATAGTCATTCCAACATTTCCAAATAATGGTTGACATGAAATGCATATAAAACTGAATGAAGCAGATGTTTAAACGTTTTAAGAGTGCCATCTAGTTATTCATAATACGTTTACATAAACGGAAATTTTTACTAGAAATTGAAAAAGCATTTTAGATCTCCGAACACTTGCCACTATGCCAACCACTGCCATGCCTCAATTTTAACCTGTAATTTTTTTATTTTTTGTAGGGATGAGTACTATAAATAATACTCAGTAGAAAGCATTTAAGTAAATGGTAAAAATATATATTTTCAGAAATGCAAACTTTGGTCGATTGTGTCACTGTCATTTCAAGCAAATTGGTGATCAGTCAGTCTGCTCACTTGTAGGTTTTGATAATCACATTTCATTTATCATAATCATCTCTTCATAGCTTATGTAAACCACCAAATGGTGATTCCATCATAAGTAACACAATAACAAGTTTAACGTAAACGAAAATATATAAATCTTACATCACTTACAAAAGCGCCGAAACACCCCTACCTTAATGCTTGAAGTTCGAATATCCTTTCGTGCCAAAGAATAAAATGCAGCGTACTTCTTACATCTTCTCTAGAAATTTCATATTCAAAGTACTTTATATTGATGAACGAAAAGGCAAAACAACTTTATGTATCGATATAATGGTTTGGGAGAGGAAACTTGGCTTTAGAAGTTATAAGAGTTTTCAAATGCAAAAGATTGATAGCAAATTGCAGTAACCAAAATGGAAGTAAAGGCAAATGGTTGTGGAATATCAATTATGGGTATAAAATGGCAAACGTGCAGGTTACTTTTCAAATGTAAAGACAACAGTTTTTGTTTTAAATTTCAAGTAAAAGTGACGGTTGGCAAGGTATCAAAATGAGACAATTTTATTTAAAATTCCAAGTGAAGTGGTGGTGCTAATATATTTGAAATGACAGTTACAAATTCTCAAATGCAATGGTGGTAGAAATTGTATTTAAAATTAGAGGTTACAAAAGTAAGTGGGGGAGGTTATAGACTTTGAAACGTAAAGTCTTAAATGGATGGATAGGGTCGGCAGGTTAACTTCCCAATTTTATTAAATGGCAGTTTTATATTTCCCTGGGCAGTTGCTAAAATGGGTTTTAAAATAGTAATATTGAATAGGCACGTGCCGTGTTAATTTCCCAATTTGATCACATGGCAGTATTTATTTATTTATTTTAATATTAGTGGGTCTAGAAACAAAAGACATGGAAACTAGTATGGTAAGTGCCAAGTGGGGAGTTAATGGATAAAATTGGATTTGTAATTTTATTTTCAAATGTACGATCAGGGACGATTTTGGCATTGACAAAAATGAAAGTTTATTAAAATGGTAAGTTGGGGTATAAATGGTGGATGATGAAACAAGCAAGTAAACCGTCCAATTTCAAAAAAAGTAGTTTACAAAATGGAAATCAAAATGGTAGTATTAAAATAAAGTGTGTCGTAAGAAAAATAATGTAACCAAATTAAAATAAAATTTTGTCGTTTAAAAGCGATTTTAACACCTTGTAAAATTTAAAAAAATCAAGTACGCGAATTTTTACTTTCGTGACCAAAGTTTAATTTGGACTATTAGGAAGTGTCGTAGCGACATAATAATATAACTCAAATTATATTTGAGTCCTATAAAAAAAATTATTTTGAAATGAAACAAAACAATTTTTTTTTCCGGTCGCTACATCCACTCTAGCAATAACAATGTACCACTATATTCACATTTGACACCAGTTCGACATTTTTCCAAATGCTCCCGAATGGACACTTATAGAACTATTTTTTTTTTTTTATTGCGTAATATTATGAAATGTCTAGCAGCACTCACCCAGTTCTTTTGAGTCAATATAAACCAACTAAATGACAGAAAAATTACACGAAAAATTGGAAGAATATTGATTAGGGTCCTATTATTGGTCCATGACGTCTGGATGCCAAAGGTGTCCTTGGGGTGATCTCGTAGCTCCTACTGGGTGGAGATGATGGGATCGGTCCATGATATCTTGGCATGGCTAAAAGCTTTAGACAGAATTAATTGGGCATGCTTGAAAAGAATGCATTCATTAAATTAGCACGTTCTCTTTTATCAGCATGCCCTTGTGCTGAGGTATAAATAGAATGAGTAGATTTTCCCTCTTTTCTATCTCTTCTACATCACAAAATCTTGAACAGGCTTGAATAAGAGTACTGGAAATATAAAAAAATTATAAAGTCACACTAGAAATATAAAACAATTATAAAGTCACACTAATAAGAACTAATAATTAACTTCGCCTATAATTGAGTTCAATTATATCAATTCATTGATCTTTCCATTTGAACAACTCTGACTTGAAAAATCTAACGTGAACAGTTTTAAATATGTCTTTTCCACCAAATTAAAGATAAAATAGCAATACATTACGCTTTGACAAAAGTCTGTTTCACTATGAAACTCGAATCCAGCAATTAAAAGGCAAATTTATGAGGAGTTAATTAAATAGCTGCTCATTAACATTTATCTTTGGTTACCACTTACTCACCCAAAAATAAAAGGTTACTAGCTGCTCACTTAATTTTACAAAAAGTTACCCATCCATCACTCGATTGTATTCCATCCGTCTATGTGGACAAAAAATTACACGTGTCGGATGAAAATCCTATGTGTCAACTAACTCCGTTAATTATTGCCACCTGGTCGTTCAACTCACATTTTTCCCTTCATTTTCCCCTTCCATTTCTCATTCCCAATTCTTGCCCTAACCATGAACCCATTTCTTCTCCCCCAACAAATCGATTTCTATCAAATCAAGAAAAATCTTTGCTTCCAAACCCATCTTCAAAAGCAAAAAAGGTAATCGAAATCACTGAAAATCGCCCTTAAATTGAGTCTCCTGTGCTTGGGTAGATCCACCCGTGCAACCGCGCTGTTGGCGACCCATAATTCATCTATTCGGCCAGCCACTGTGCTCAACAAATCGTGAGAAGCATCTCACTCATCAAGAGCAAATTTGATTCGACAATTTGCTTTTATGGCCGAAGCTTCTCCCACGGGCATCTTCTGCCTTTGGTTTGCTGCGTTATGAAGCTCCAAATGAGATGGATTTTGCAGGATTTTTTATTACTGGTAGACAAATAAAGAATTGGAAACTGTTGGAAACATGAATAGGTTGTTGTGGGTTTTTTAATATGTAGTTGGTATGTTGGTGGTTTTGTAAGTTGTATATTGATGGTGTAGGAATGTTTGTGGTGTTCTATTTCAGCTCAATGGTTGTAATGGTAGGTGTATTAGTGTTTATGGTTGTGAAATCATCATAGGAAACCTGATTTATTTTACTAGAAAGATACTTTTCTGGAAAGATACTTTACTGGAAATTTTTGTGTTTTGAAGTCAATGCTCTTATGTAAACTTGAACTCTTGTCATCCCTTAAATCCCCAATTTTCATATGATATTAACCAAAAATGTCATATGACAGATTGTGACAATCACAATCAGTTCCTATTCAAGATTTCAAATTACAAATGGACAAAGTTACATGCACAAAATGATTCCTTTACCACATATAATAAGTCTCTCTTTCTGCCCAAATTTCTTCATAGATTAAGTTAGCATCATTGAACTTCTGCCTAAATCCACAAAGTCTTGCCTTTTTAAAGTATAAGTAGCATCAGTTTTTTTAAAGATATACAACATTAGCAACCAAAGATCGTAGCATCAATATTTTTAAATTTTTATCGGTAAATGGGAAATTAGTATCTGTATCTGAATTTCAACAGTAACAAGAAGCATTAGTACTAAAATCTAGACTTGATTACCAGAACACCAACATGTCATTCTTCATCCTTTATCAACAATGCACCAAAGTAATATTTAACTTTCACATCAATATAATAACAGATACTTTTAAGAAGAAACCAAGAAGCATTCCAACAAGAAACCAAGAAGCATATTTTCATTCAACTGATATGCAAAAATAGCAATTCAAATCATGATTACATGGATCATTGTTTTGCCTCCAACACCAAAATTACACCTGATCATTGTTTCTTGTCTTCCTAACAAAAATTACATCCATTAAACAAAAAGAAAATACTATTGAGTTGCTGAATTTTTTCTTGGAGGCGCATATGGAACCGACCCTCGAACAATCCTTCTATTTTTTGCTATGACTGCCCTCTTCCTTTGTTTTTCTTGGTTCTCTATCTCTTGCAAGTCATCCACCATGGCTTTAAGTGGAGATTTCTCCATTGTTGAACTAGCTGGCTCATTAAGTGGAGGACCGTAGTTGGTAAATTGTGCAGCACTATATAAACCAATTCCAGGTGTTGGCATGAAAAGGAAATTGGATGATTGTTCTGGCGGTTGCATTTCAGATGGAAGCATCCCCGATTGCCTCCTAGGCACGAGTTTTACCTGTAATAGTGTCATGACATCATATATTTAGTGAAAATTTTATTTGGCCAGATTCATTTATAACATGACATTGCAATAGATGTAATTACCCTTAATCTTTCACTCCCCACTTCCCTTAAGCTTCTTTCATATGTATGATCTACAGCCCCACAAGACAAACCCTATCACGAGAATATAAACTAATGCACATTAGATCAGATCCCATGCTAAAAATTAGAAAACACAATACAGAGCACATATCTATAACAAACCTCATGTGGTGCATTAGCCTTTTGATGATACCTCTTGTTGTGGCCTGTCCCTCCACATAAACTACAAGTAATCACCATAGTACCCTTCTTGTTCAACTTTACTTTGGAACCCGAACGGGTTATGACATCTTCTTCTGCTTGCCTTCTTCTCTTCTTCTGTTTTCTTCCCCTTTTAGGCACAAACCATTCTAGTGGCTTGATTGGAGGGACATCTACTTGAGGCCATAATTTTATCCCATTTATAGGGTTTATAATATTCTCATAACAACTCATATATGTACTCACTCTATCACACTCATGCACATACTTCCATGGCTCATCCCTTCACTTGGATGCCTTTTCTTTAACCAGTTATGCGCTGCACTACTTTCTTTCTCCATCTCACCCATCCAAAACATCCATTCGAGCACCATAGTCGACTTTGCGGCCTTCCATATGTATTCCTTAAGAATTAAACCCTTAAAATCAATTCTAAAAAAATTGATGTACATGTGTCTAACACAAAATCGGTGCTTTGCTTCGAGATACAAATCGTCTATTACATTTTGTAAACCCTTTTGCCTATCCGTCATAAATGTCCATTCATTGCTATTCATTATCTTCAAATCTTCACCCAAATGTTGAATAAACCACCTCCAGGTAGTAGCATTCTCCCTCTCAACTATGGCATATGCTACTGGGTAAATATAGTGGTTAGCATCTAATTCCACAGCCACAAGCATCTGCCCTCCAAACGTCCCTTTCAAGAAACATCCATCCAACACCAGAAGTTGCCTGCATCCTCCAAAAAACCCCCTCTTACAAGCTTCTAAACATATATAAACTCCTTGAAACTTCAAATCATGAATGGCAACAATGCATGTAGACCCGGGATTGGTTCTCAATATTTCAACAGCAAAAGACCTAAGCAATCCAAAATGGTGCTCATTAGATCCTTGTATCAGTACTCTTGCATATCTTCTAGCCATCCATGCCGTAACCTTATTGATTGTTAACTTCATATCATCATTTACAGCCTTTATAATAAGCTTAGACTTCCAATTCAGGTCAACTTTAAAGGTATCTAAATATCGCTTCGCTTTGTACTTTGCAGTGCAATGCCTATTTGTTCTATTCCTGATACATGTATGTTCTGGGTTTTTGGACTTTATTTGCACACAACCTTTTTTCTTGTTCCACGAAGCCCAAATCTTCCATGTACAAGCTAATTTACAGATGGCTTGGGCTCTAAATTCATCATTAGGCTTGAATCTAAAATTACATCTAGATGCTGCGCCGTGATTTCTAACTGCTTCCTTGAACTCTTCAATATTTTTAAACTCTTTTCCTACCTCCAACTGGGGATCGAACTTCTCTCGTTCAGCATCATAAATAGGGAAATGATAAGCTTGTTCCTCACTAGAAGAATAGTTAGTGTGCAACTCCTCTTCGCTAGGACAAATGGCTTCATCTGATCCAACCTCTTCATCTCCAGTGGTCAAAAGTTCGATCGTATGGTCTGCTTTTAATCCAATCAAAACTTGTTCATTCGCATTATTGTCATAGTGAAAATCATTATCATTAACTTCGTTGTTTGAGTCAATCAACTGGCATTCATTAGGTATCACTTCCTCATCCTGAAATATATTATCTGCAAAGAAAATGTAGCATTGTAAAGCTAATAAAATGTAAACATTTTGTAAAGTTTTTGTGCAAAGGTGACAAAAATAAATTTGATAAATGTACAATAATCACTTAAAATGATAAAGTTGCATATCCTGTGCACTAATTTTATACTGGCCAGCAAGTGTTTTAATTATTATTTAGTGAAAAAAGTTTTTCCAGAAAACAAGTGGCAAAACATTGAAGTCTATCACCACATACAAGATTGTCATTGAGATGTAATAACGAGAGCTCTAAAATTAGAAGAAAACTGACATAATTGAAGAAATGGAAACCCACAAAATAGATAGCATAAAGCCATGAAAATATATGAAGAAAATGTTATAATCGCTAAAATTTGAGAAAGTATTGCAATTAAAAAAAAAAATTAATATTCAATGTAACCAAGTACAACACATGATATTCCAAAAACAAAGTGTTTGACAAAGTGGTCCAATAAAGTGTTCCTCCAAAAATATTTTAGGATATTACCTCCTTGTGGTCCCTCATATGTTGACTCCAAGATTACTTCTTCAATAATAGTGTTGTCTGCCATTTGTGGGGCATGAAAAGAAATTTATGGGTTCATATGAATTTGGGGATTTTTCCAACGGGAGTTCAATATGCAATGGTTCCTTGATTTGGGGTGATTTGGATTTGATGCAAGGAAGAATTGAGTAATGTTGTGGAGTAGAAATTGATTTGGGGCTCCAGAAAATCGCCCAGTGTTCTGAGAAAAATGCAATGGAAAATTTGGAAGAAAAAACCTATTTAAATTTAATTGATTTTGGTCCATGTTGTCAAAATATTTAACACCGTTACGTCCACGTATAACTTTCATCTGCCACTTCGGTTTTTTTGTCCATGTGGATGGATAGATTTTAAATGGGTGATGGATGGGTAACTTTATCTAAAAGTTGGTGAGTAATCGGTAACTTTTTATTTTTGAGTGAGTAAGTAGTAACCGAAGTGAAATGTTAGTGATTGTCTATTTAATTAACTCAATTTATGAGCATTAGACAAATGCAATAAATAGTTCATTGAAAAATTAAAATGGGAATATTAAACATAATTTGTAACTTTAAAAGTTAATGCGATATTACAATCGATATAGTTTGATTCCTCAATTCAATTAGTAATACTTCTAAAATCCACTTCTTCCCCATACTACAAGTGAAAGGGAAAATGTAAAGAATATTATTAAAGCAGCCCATTCAAAGTGTAAGTTTTTCTTCAAAAACTAAACAAATTAGAAAGGATTTCACTTCGAGTACGTCCATTTCACTACGAAACTCAAATAAAGCAGTGAAAAAGCAAAATTTATAAGCATTGGACAAAAATGCAATAGAAACCCAGCTGCAGTTTATTGACAATATCAGAATAGAAAAGAATACTGAGAAGAACTACAATACTAGAAAAGAAAACACATAGCCATTTGAGAGGGCTAATCTCTCTGCACTCTTTACTACTCACATTTATAGGAATCCTATCTGGCCATATTTCTACAATACCTCTGTCCCTAACTCAATATGTCTAACTGAATCTACTTCTCCATACTTCTAGATCCTTCTAGGGTATGTAGACTTGATAGGAGTCTATCAAAATGTTATAAATATTAATTAATTCACATTTTTAAAAATAATTTCTAGCTTGAGAAATTAATTTTGGCACTTTTAAATACAAGTTTTTTCCTCAAATAAACAAATTACAAATAAATTATTAACACGTTAGACTTGGAGAATCCTCCATTTCACTACTGAAGTCAAATCAAGTAGAAAAACTGCTGATTTACAAGGATTGCACAAAAATGCAATAAATATAAATTGCAAATTAATATTCACCTTTTTAAAAAAGAGGGTAACTTGAAACGTAAATGCCTGCAGTTCTAAATTTAATTATTTTTCTCGAAAATGAAAAGTTCAAAATATATCAGAAACATACTTTGAAACTCAAAATCAAGCAGCGAAAAGGAAAATTAGAAGTATCTTAAAAAATTTTGGGTAAAAATCACCAACCAGAAAATTAATCGTATTTTTAAAAGATAAGTTTTGGCCTAAAAATTAAACAAATTACAACAGATAACGCTTCGAGAATTGTCGTTTTCACTCAAATCAACCAGTGAAACAGAAAATTGCGGAGGGTTTGTAACCGGACCGGAGGCGACTGGCGAGAAGCAAGCGAGTGAGCCGCCGTATAACGGCGTCCGTCAGCAAATTCCATTCCAGTGAAGCGAGAATCAGGCGAACTGTAACATCGTACAGCATTTTCACAATCGATTCCATTACTACTATTTCTAGAAATAAACTTCGCTTCCTGCAGCTCCTCTTTATCTAATCGATTTGAATTCTGAAGGAAGTTCTTCAATTTTTATCATTAAAGAAAGAGTAATCATGCTCATGGTCAGTTACTGGAATAGCTAAGCGGCAACTCGTGGCATTAAATTTTTTTTAGGGGAATTTAAAAAAAAAAATGTCAATTAGATGCTAGTGTTCAATTAAACTCTTGTAAAAATAGCCAAATTTGGTATCAAATATCTTTTATACAAAATTGAAGCAACTTTTTTTGTCTTCTCAATATCCCATCAATTTTTAGAAAAATAATGTAGGTTTCATGTAAAGCCACAGTAATAACGATGTAATATCTAATGGGTAAATATCCTCTCATTATCTATTAGGTAATGACTAATGATTTTGAGTAGAATTAAAGATGATGAAATAGAAAAATCATTAACTCAAAAAATTCTACACTCCTAAATTCATAATTTTGTTCGTCCACAATTCCTCATGGAATGTAAATTTTCTTCGAAATCTCATTTTTGTTCATAAGTTTGTATTTAACAGTAGTTGCTGTGATATATATGATGCAAAATGGATGATAAGATTTTTCAAATAATTAGTAGATACTTGTTATGAGATTATTGGAGTATTTTAAAAACAAATTCATGTTTTTTTTTGTATTTCTCAAATATCGTGTCACAATCTATTTATATAACTTTGATAGATAGATTTGCAATGGTTGTTATGTATTAACAACGCTATTAATGAAAGCATAAATTTCTTGCTAGAATGATTGTTGAAGTTGAAGAAAATGATAAACGCACATGGTGAAGTGTCCGACCGACATATTCTTCTCAACATTTTATAATTGTTGAGAATGACACTTTAAGTATAATTTTTGACAATATTTCAATGTTCAGAATTACATTTTATTAACTTAGCGAAGCTACCGAAAATTTTGTGTATACCATTGACCATATTGTTTATGGGTAGCATGTTTGATTTCGATATTCGTGCTAGCTAATCCTTTTTGCATCGATGACATACAGAAATGGGAGATGTGATGAGATTCGTTGTCTTGCATGGCAGTACATTCGTCAACATAGAGGATGAGTGGAAGTGGTTTGGGAATCGAACAATATCAACTTTTATTCGAAGAGACATTAGATATGAAAATTGAATTATTCGAAAAGCTTCATCTTGACATAATAAAACTTCGAATCCACCTCAAATTTAAAGTTCCGAACATGAATTTCGTGAACTACAATTTCAAAATCATTATACATCCACGTACTAAATTTCAAACGACACCAAGGAGAAATCTTATCGAGAAGTTCATAAACTACTAAACGACATAAACTTCACTACTTCATCGGCAAAAATCATGACAATGACAATGAGTTTCGTATTTGAAGTGGTTACAAAATTACTATGTAAAAAGACATCTACGTCTTGATTACGCCCAAAGAATAACGCGGTTATTGTAGTACAGCTTTGGGGTGTCGTATCCACAGGGAGATGGAAAATTTCTCAAAAGATCAAACATACTAGGGTTTTCGTAATTAAATGTGGGAATGATTTGTCACTTGGAATAAAAATTAATTATCAATATGCGAATTAGTGAAGCGTCGGAGTTCCCCCATTGGATTGGATCAATCAACATCAATAATTCATGTATTTTCACTCAATTAGAGGTTTTCTTCCCAACTCTCTAATTGGAAGATTTAACAGTGAAATCCAATTTTATTCCAATTATATTTCTAGAATCTAGATTTTCTATAACACATTCGCACATTTTTATTGGAACAAGATCAAAAATCGACCATATACGTCAGGCATAAGGTAGTAATCAATCCGCCAATAAAGTGATATTAAGATTAAAATTCAACAATTATTTCAATCATTCGATAGAAAGAGCATGGCTAGATCTATGAAGGATTTGATAAAAGTTAAAATAATCTCAACAATAAATAATTTAAATTGAAACTCAACAAATAGTTTAATTTAACAATGGAAAAAGCATGACTGAATCCATGAGAAATTTATTAAAAGTTAAACAAATTTCAATACTAATTCATAACGAGAAAATCTAAATCTAGAAATTATTAAGCAAAGAGAGTTCGAATCACATGAAATTACGACGTGAAATCTCCAAATCCAATGAGTTCCTTTGTTGCTTCACCGAGTTCCTTAGTTTTCCATGGAGTTTCTTGAGCACCAAGATGAAAAAAATAGGTCTGGGGGCGTGTCCCTTCGTTCTGGGTGGTTTTGGGCATTTATATCCCGTGAAAATTAGGTTACCATAAGAGATTCAATCGTATAAGGAAACTGAGATTCGGCCGCCAAAAAAGCACTATGCGACCGCATGGTTATTGTCATTGCGGTCGCATGGTTATGCACTTTCAGCCTCTTCAATTCTCGGTATAGGTGTATGCGACCGCATAGTAGAAAGGCATGCGGCCGCATTGTTCCGTCAGACAGCTTTCAGTGTTTTAATCATAACTTTCTTTCCCGATATCCAATTGAGGTGATTCAAGTTGCATTGGATAGCTAACTCAAAGGGCCAACATGAGACTAAAAACTGGTGTGTTGGTTTTCGATTGGAAATTGATGTATTGATCAAACTTTGATGTTATTTCATCCCTTTGACTTCGTTCCTCATCCACTTGACCTCTAACACTTTCGAATCTTCATCATAATCTTGGACACAAGTTTGGATCATTTGCACTTTAGTCCTCGAACTTTCGTTCTCTTCTACTTTGGTCATTTTTCACTTGTTTCTTCCGAATTTCATCTTTTTCACCAAAATGCAACCTAAACCAAAATATAAGAGTAATGAGTGCATTTTGGCATAATATAATCACATGAATGCAATAGTTAAGAGGGGAAAATATGGTATTTTACACTCTTATCACGTCTCCTCAACAACGGACAGAAAAGATATCTTACTACCATCATCGTCGTCAGAGCTTATGATGACGACATCTCCCATGACATCCGAACTAGGTCCAACATTGTCAACCAACTCGTTGATGTATTGAATGCCAAATAAAAGATGGTGTTCATCCAATAGGATTTCGATCGGGATCAGTATGACGATAACCAATTGTCGGTCACTTGGCTCACCTTCATTTCCCAAATCAGGAAATGGAATTAAATGAACACTCATCCGACGACAACGGTTCTCGGATTGAGGAATGCGGGAAACAACGACATGCATTTTTTTATCATTGTCCGAGTCGAAAATGATTGGATTGTCTGTCAAAGACCTAGGCGAGAAGAGGTTCACAGCAATATCAGTATGAAGTGTTTCTTTGGTTGAAGAAGAAAAGTTTGAAAGAAGCTCTTCCTGCTAGGATTTTCTTATGAAGAATTGTGTTTGAACTTTGTCTTTCAACTCATATGCATACTTATATAGAGGTGTAAAGCATGGCTAATGAAGTGTAATTGCATTACAAAACTACACACCAACTCCCACTCCATGTATTTACAGTTGATTGACATTTGTTTGACAACATAGGGTGTAGACCCAGTGCTTGTCACGTGAATAGTGAAATTGTATTTATTAACGACATGAATTTATAACACACCTTTCGTTAAATCGTATTGGGAAACTTCTACGTCTAATCGGTTCATTGTAAGTCTTTTTTCTTTTCTTTTTTTAAATCTCATTGTCATCTTGTCATTCTGCATAATAGTTCGAATTTGTTCTTGACGTTTCATGGTGTTTTCGTCATTTGGAAAGTCATTATCTACATTTGGACCTTGTTTATATCCACACTTGGCTGTTCATGTATCTAGAATGAGATTTCATTCAATTTTCTAGAGTTCTATACATTTTTCGACATTTAAAGTGTTGTTCTCAACATAGGGAGAAGTGGACATTTAGAGTCCGTTTGGTACACATTAATGTAAAAATGAGAATGAAAAATATAGCCGTTATGGGCTCCACACAAGAGATAGAAATTCAAATTTGGTGGCTTGATGTGATGAATAACGGTCTATTTTTCATTTTAATGAAGAAAAAATGGGAAACAAATGGGGGCTTAATTTATGAATTGACATGGTACTTTTTCAAATTAATAGTATAGGTTATGTGTTAAATTGTTATTCATCAACACAATTTTGAATTGTATGAAAATTTTTATCGTCGGTGTAGAATTAGAAATGTTAACAAATGTATTTTGGTCTAAATTATTGCAAAATTGGCATTGAAGAAAATTTGGACATTTTTCCAAATGATCATGTGAAAATGGCTATTTCTTGCAATTTATTTTTATTTTATTTAATATTATTATTATTTTTTGTAGTTTTGTTGCTCAAATAACAAGTTAAAATAATGAGTTGTTAAATTGGGTTATGACTAACAAAAAATAGCATTACCTGAAAGGGTGTTTGAGCCTCATTTTTATGAAAAGTTGCATTTTAAAATAGTAAATTGATGGAAAACGTGTGATTGAAAAATAAGGAAAAATTTTGATTTACGTATAATATTATTTTAATGAATAATGTGTGGTTAAAAAGAAAATAGAAAAAAATATATTTTGAGAATAATGAATCATTGTTTAAGAATTGTTTCCTTTTTTTAAATATGGGTCAAATAGGGAAAAAGTATGTTCCATGTTTCTTGTAATAGCCCAAGCAATATTGTCTTCATACAAAATATTTATCCATCTTTGATGATTGTGATAACATGATGGTTCAAGAAAAAGATCTTGTTCGCTTTAGGAATCTCGTACATAAAATTATAATATGATCATAAGTTACATTGAGGGCAAATGTCCTATAGATTATGTACATTCATTTTTATAACGAATATGTCCCTCTTTGAGCTCCATTTTTTGGAAAAAAAAAATATACACACACACACACACATTCTAAAAAGTTATACGAATTTTGTATTTACTTTCGAAACTTTAAAATACCTTTTTTTTTTTCAATTTTAAATTCTTTCTACAGTAAATTCTATAATACAAATTATGTTATGTATTTCACCGTCCAGATTTTATTAGCGTTATAGTCATTGTATTCATCACTGCCACCACCATCATTTGCAATGTAAGATATTACATACCTTTGTGTTGCCTATTTCAATCATAATTGCAGCCACCCATCTCCACCACTTGTAACATTTTGTTTTACACAACAATCATTTCTAATTTCACTACTCACAACGTTCATTGTAAAATTATCATCATCGATCAAACCACTTGTAACATTTATTGTTATATTGTTGCCATCTCTAGCCCTTGTGATGTTTATTATAACACAACCACCATCACTCCTTGCCATAAACACTATTGTCATTGCCGACACAACCATTCACCATGCACCGCCACGAAAAAATGTAAGCGATCATCTTGCTATCTACCTCCACCATAAGCAAACCATCATGGACATCATCTAATCACATCCTCACATCCACCACAAAAATTAAATAGAAGTAAGAATATTTGCAATTGTAAATCCAAATTTGGAAAGAAAGAAATGGTGGAAGATCTCACCAAGTGATTGTGATTGACTGTATAGAGTCGCAATGATGGGGTGTGTTAGCAACAAAAATTGTAGAGGCGGTACCATTTACTTCATCTATAATACTAATAGTTGTCTCACACCTCTGTGATGATTGATTTAATGTATAATAGGCGACCATTGATGGTAGCGGTTGAAGGTGGGCTCACGGTGGTGGTGAAATTTTAGTAACAAATTGTCCAGTTTTGATCTCTCCTTCAAAGAAAAAAAGAAAGAACTGTATTTTTTAAATTAAAAAGGGTTGTACATTCAAATTTTCAAAATGTGGCATAATTATCCAAAAAAAAATAATAATAAATAAATAACCACTTTTCAACATCTGAATTAGGTTTGTCAATTTGCCAAAGCTGCTTGTTGGCCCAATATGTTCAAGTTCGGTCTTGGTTAGTGCTGGCCCAATATTTAGAGGACTTGTGGTTCATTTGCGAAGGTCATCTGACATTAACTTGGGCTCAAGATGTTGGCCCTTCTCTCTCTCTCTCTCTCTCTCTCTCTCTCTCTCTATATATATATATATATCTTGAATATTTGATCTGCTTTTATACATTGACAATTACAAGTTTGTACGATTCTATTATTTTTCAGTAAAGAAAATCTTTCTCAGTTATCATGTCTTTCCTAAACTCCAATAAGCCAATGAACTTACTGGGATAAAAGTGTGATTTACCATACCATTTTGAATGGAAATTTGTAGTTCATCTTTTTTTCATTTTTCTTTTTTCTCTCTCTCGCAATTTTTTTTTTTTTTTTTAATTAGAAAAAGAAAGGGGAAAAAAAAAAAAAAAAAAAAAACTTCAAGGTTGGGCCCGCACTATATTTAGGTTCGGAAAGTGCAATGAGCCGCTCATGTCTTGGACGAGTTGGGAACATGAGCCAAATAACTATTCACTTGTGTGAGCCTCTCCTTGACTCTACAGCGTGCAAGCCAACTATTCAAAATTAGTGAAAACTCAAATTCAATAAAAAGCGACTCAATTCGCCCCCACTTCCCATTCCTATCTATATTTGATATGGCCTAAGATCCGGACTCTTGAGAACGCGTGTCGGATCAATCTCAACTCTCTATTTGATACGGCCAATGCTGAACCAATCAATTGACAAAGCCAACTTGATTCAGCCTGAAATGTGAACATGCAATTATATTTGTTTTGCACTCGCTTCAGATACAGTTTTCCCTTGTTTTTCATTCTTTTATTCGAAAATTGCATCATTCATTCTTAAATTATTTTTCAATTTGTAATTTAATTTTCAACTTTTCATTTAAGTGTCTATTTGATACTTATTAAATTATTTCAAGGTTTGCTACATGATTATTTTTAATCACGCATTCATAAAATAAAATATTCCACACGTATACCAAAATTTTTTTTTACTACTTTTCAATCACACATTCTCTTAAAAATACTATTCAAAACTCATTCTTTCAATGAGAATCAGACAGGCACTAAGTTTCATAATTAATCAACAAAAATTGTCCCCATACCTTTATGTGCTTGCATACGAGCTAAAGTAAGCAGACAATACTAAAACATCAGAAGTATATGAAAAGTAACTTTTGAATTTTGTTATGAATCATAATTTGAGATTTAAACATCTATGAAATTCGAGATTTATATCTATGAATTCAAAAGTTAGTCAAAGGGGTGAGAGCAAACAACTATATTAATATGACTCTAGCAACTACAAAAGATTTGGAAATCTAAATTGGACTCATTAAATCATAATGGTAATTTTAACCCTGCATTAGAGCTGAGAAGGACCATGGTGGTTGTGAATGCCTTCGTAAGTTGTTACTACATAACTTGGGTCCATCGTGTCTCTTTCAACTCTCTTTTTCACTGGACATCCTTCAACTGAGCACTTGTAATAATTCCTGTTGATTTCATGTTATAATTATGTTTGGTGTCGAAGCTATTAGTGCATGTCTAGAAAATAATACTAAATAGGTTTGAACATTATAATATATAATACTTTTGCTCTTTTACTTTTTCTACTATATTGTCTAGTTATGTTCAATCAATTTAAGACACATTTGGCCGTGCAGGATTGAGACTTGAGAGGTACAAAAACCAAGATTTAACTCTTTTTTTTATAATAATTCTAATCACATATATACAATCATCTTAGAATACATTTGGTAGGAAACATTAGATACTACTCAATATTATTAACCCATAGAAAATTATAAATCTTCATTATACTCTTTATTCAGCATGCGTGAAGTATTGAGCAAGATTGATAAGATATTAAATAAGTAATCAAATAATTTTTCTAACATAATATACAATGTCTAGTATCATTTCAAGCATTTTTTATTATGATTAATTGGGGAAAAAATTGAGTTTTGAATAATATTTTTAGAAGAATGTGTGGTTAAAATGCAATGAATTCTTTATTTTTTTTATATGTGTAAAATATTTTATTATGTGAATGTGCGGTTAAAAAAGATCCTATAACAAATCATAAAATAAATTAATGGGTATCGAACATGAACTTAATCTTTCCTTTGATAAGTCTATAATTGTGAAACATTTCTTGTTCCCTAACCTTATGTACATATTCGTTTTTCTAGAAGGTCGTAATCTCCACATAATTTTCTAATTCTTATTCAACCCTCTCTCTTGTGAGTAGTTGATAAATCTACGGCTGTGAAGATTTTCTTGTTACCCAAATTTTTTTTTACATATTCATTTTTCAAAAGGTTACAATCTCAACATAAGTGCTAACTCGTGGACAGAGGGCGACCATTAGAATATTTGACTATAGATTTAGCCAATTTGATTAAGATAAAAATCAAATTTTTCAATAATGAAATTTATTGTTAAAAAATTGTAAATCCTATAAAATATGTGATTAAAATTAATTATTGATTTTGACTTAAATTTTAATCATTTTTTAGCTGAACCAAATAGAGGATTAGTACCTTTCTAAAAAAATGACTTTATGTAAGAAATTCATCTTCGCACTTAAAAGCTCTAATTTAAACTAGAAAGGTCACCTTTAGTCATTTTTTTTAAGGTTTTGAGTATGCTTGGCTCAACTTAAAAGCCAAAAAAAGTTAAAAGATGGCTTCTTTTTAACTTTTCTTTTAACTTTTTTTGGCGGTAAAAAATATCATGCTGATAAGAAAAGCCAAAAAAATAAAAAATAAAATAAAAAATAAATGATGATTTTTGGCTTCTTTTTTAGTATTTAAGGTCAGCTAAACACAAGTATTACATGTTTGGCTAAACTTAAAAAGTTATTTATAAGTAAACAAGATTTTTTAAAATTAATTTTTATTAATCAAATAACACACATTAATTGCTTGTTTTGACAGCAATTTAAGTACTACTATGATATAAGTAGATTCTTTTAATTAAAAGTTGAAAAAAAGTAACATGATAAACGTACTTCCAAGTCGACAATATTAAAAAAGAAAAATAAAGTTTATTGTCCTGCACTATCTAGTTTAGTTAAATTCAATTGTACATGTCCCCATGATGCTAGTAGTGGAGAGTTCCTCTTGATTTTAAACAATAAATAACGGTTTTAGGAGAAAAAGCTAAAACTAATAAGGATAATTATGCACCTTGGATTTGGGCTATTTTTCACCATCTTTTTTCCATACTTCCTCCACTTGAAGCCATCATCAAGTATATCAATTTCTGACTTGGTTTTAAAAGCAACCTTCTCTGTGGTTTTTTTATTCTCCCTGCCCCTCCTACTATCTTCTGATGCTGCAAAAATAATATTAACAAGAAAAACAAGTTAAATTATTTTATTTTATTATATTCTATATGAGTATAAACCATTAATATTGCCTATCCAACATGCCCTAAAAGGATTGTTTGTTATTTGCTTACTGGTGTTGGGATCCTCATGGTAGCTGTTACTTCCCCCGGAGTTAACCATTTCGTTTGCTGCATAATTTTGGCTTTCGGGATAACCAGATATCATAAGTGGTAGATCGTCATCCTTCCAGTCATTGAACTCGAAGAAATCTGAATACTCAAGGTTCATCGGGTAGTTATACGGGTCCATGGTATAACCTGAATGTGCATGCAAGTCTTTCTCTCTCTCTATATATATATACATGTTTGAGACCTCAATTGGGGTGGGGGGTGGGGGTCCTGCTGCCAGCTTCCAGGGACATCGAATGAAGTTTCGCAGGTAATTCTTCATTGATATGGAAAAAAAAATGGTTAAGAAATTTATTTGTTTGTGTGGGGTCAATGCCTAAATCAGATCATGAAATATTATAATATATAGACAAGAATGTGGGGAATGTTACGGATGACTTGTGTAGACTTTTTGATTGGTTCTAGTAAGAGTCTTTTGCCTAGACCAACCCCTTCAGCACGGGAATTGGGTTCAAAGTCAAGACACACACACACAAATTATGGCTTGACTCCATGATTGATGACTCCTATCAGATAGCAGTCTTTGCGCCCACAGATCAACTTGTACTATTCTTCTTATTACAGTGAAAATTTGCAGCAATAAAGTGGACATGGTTCTTACATTGAAGGTAAACCACTACAATTTTGCATAAGTAGTGTGCTTTTTTCTAGTATATAGAGAATCAGGTTTTACATGTCATAACTTAAGTGAAGAAGAATCATATTGAAACATTTCTTACAATGTTAGACAAGATTAAGAAAGAAAGAAAAAAGACTATACTTTTATATGCTGTGTTGTGGATGTTTAAAGAACGTGCACGTGCTGTTTGATTGGTGTGAAAGGAAGAACATCCAAGGATAAACTAGCATAGTAAGTTTACATTTGGATCAAGCACGTTGGTTTAGATAATTGGTGGTGGGTCTTGATATATGTATGATAGCTAGGTTGGCTTCCAGGAAGATGGATAATATAATCCACATTTGTAGGATTACAAGAAAGAAATGGGTTGTTTGGTCATCTTATTAGCAAGATAAATGATAAATTAAATATAGGTTTCTCTTTCTTTCCAATCATATTCAATTACCCTATTGAATATGTAATAATGACATATTTGATATGTTAAGGATAAATATATATGTACAGAGGAGGTTACCGAATGGTGTCCCTCCTCTCACAATGTATGGTGGGCCCTGCATGAATTTAAGATTGACGGTTCGTGATCCCCACCTTTATTGTGAGTAGTAGGTAAAAGATTCAGTAAAAAAATTCTGTACGTGTAGCATTGTCCAAAAATTAAAATTATTTAATACTGCTCAATTCATTACTATTCGAAATTTTCGTAGGTTTTTCATGCAAGTGAGAGCCTCACTTTGTAACTTTTATGCTATGTTTGGTACATTGAGTCAATAAAGATTAAACAAAATAAGTGAAAAATTATGTTACTTTTGGTTATTCACCTTATGTAAATTCAACACATTAAATGTCCACAATGTTTGAGATATTGTACGGAAAATATTATATAAATTTAGACAGATATATTTTCGTTTTATAAAATATTGGTCATCTTATTAGCAAGATAAATGATAAATTAAATATAGGTTTCTCTTTCTTTCCAATCATATTCAATTACCCTATTGAATATATAATAATGACATATTTGATATATTAAGGATAAATATATATGTACAGAGGAGGTTACCGAATGGTGTCCCTCCTCTCACAATGTATGGTGGGCCCTGCATGAATTTAAGATTGACGGTTCGTGACCCCCACCTTTATTGTGAGTAGTAGGTAAAAGATTCAGTAAAAAAATTCTGAACGTGTAGCATTGTCCAAAAATTAAAATTATTTAATACTGCTCAATTCATTACTATTCGAAATTTTCGTAGGTTTTTCATGCAAGTGAGAGCCTCACTTTGTAACTTTTATGCTATGTTTGGTACATTGAGTCAATAAAGATTAAACAAAATAAGTGAAAAATTATGTTACTTTTGGTTATTCACCTTATGTAAATTCAACACATTAAATGTCCACAATGTTTGAGATATTGTACGGAAAATATTATATAAATTTAGACAGATATATTTTCGTTTTATAAAATATTGAGGAATTTACAAAATACACCTTGTATATATATATGGCGTAACTACACTTTCATACTTTGTTTTATAAATTTAAATTTTGCATATTGGTTAATAAAAGCACATCAAAATTTTACAAATATTTCATAAATTATTAAAATATCTTTAATCAAAATAAAAAATCACATCCCATATATTAGTTTATGCAATGTTTTGCATACTACTTTTTATTAGTTGACTTTTTCGTTAATACTTTTTCTTTAAAGGATGATTTTTTTTTTTTTTTTTGTGAGATTTATAAAAGTATTAACTTCTTTCCTTGAATTCTAACATTAAAACAATAAAAATTATTTCTAGTGAGCTTATAGAAAATACATCATTTGACTCTTCCAACATTGTGAAAACAATAAAAATTCTTAAATGCTATCTTCTAATTAGTTTTTTTTTTTTTTTTTTCATTTCAATGAATGAAAATTTACACCTATAAAATATATAAAATTTGAGATTAGTTGTTATTTTCTGGCTAAAAATTAACTTTTTTATTCATTTGAAGTTGTGTTAACTTTGCAACTAAAAGCACGTTAAGAAATGCATGTGTAATTTTATATATTGGTATCTATTGGGGATAATTGTTTTCTTTTATGCGATAAAGATTCATAGAAAATATAAATATAATAATGTAATAATAAAGTATATAATCTTTTGTAAAACTGAAAAATGCAAAAAAAATTTGTGAATGATGTAGCAAAAATAGTCGATTGATTGTTAATTTATTGAAATATAGATGAATGAGAAAGAAATGAAATAATTAGACAAAACTGAAATAGTAATCAAAATTTTAGAGAATAAAACAGTTAAAAAAAAAATTATATGTAAAGTGTTACATAATATAATACAAAGAATGTTATTTGTTATTTTCGATTATGGATATTTTGGTATGTTTAACTATTTTTAATGATAAATTTGTAAATTTTATAACAAAGGTTGTTTTTATTACTATACTATAAAATATAGTAGGTAAAGTATAAATTTAAAAATACGGTATATGAAATATAATATAGAAGATGTATTTTGTTAATTTTTTAAAATTATTTTGTCTAATGTTGTAGACCTTAGAAATGTTATGAGGACTGACCATTATCATTAATTTCAATATGTCCCTTTCAAATTGGAAACTCTACCTTTGGATCTAGGCTCCAAGAGTCAATTCACTAGTGGGGTTAGGACTTGAACCATAAAAGGGGTAGGAGCCATTCACGACCGGCGATTAAGGAATAAAATAAAAGTCCATGCCATGATTCTACAAAGTTTTATAGTTGATTGGTTTGCAAATTATGAGAAATGATACTCGACTAGGGACAATAATTTTTTAGTAGCATCTGAATAGAAACATCATATGAATCAACGTGCCCAACTTGTTTTTACATTAAAAATTGCTACCTCTAAATTTTCTTTATTGTTTTTCTTCTTTTTTCTTTAAATTGGGGTGAAGTTAGCGAATGCTCGAATATTTAATCTAACTTAACCTTAGTTGAACGTCTCATTCAGTTTGAGTATAATTTCTTTGACAAACAAGCGAACTTGTCCTTGATATATAGACTATTCAACTAGAACGAAGTTCATTGGAATAATTTTCACATGGATTTAGACAGATTTTAATGCTAAAAAATTTCAGTTTTCTTTCAATTACTTATGTCATTCTTTCGCAAAGATTGAGACTTTTAAGTCAACTGGAATTTAAAAACATCAGTTTAAACAAAAAAAGTGCGAGAAAAAGAAAGGAGGATGGTGGAAAGGTCGATTTTAGTTGATTTTCTTTCTTTTCCGTTATTTGAGTTTTTTGTATTTTTAATTTGATTGCCTTGATTTCATATATCTATTTGACGCACAAGTTACTTTTTTCTTTGAAAAAAAAAAAATGGGAAATATACACTTAGCCCCCATTTGTTTAGCTAAAAAAAAATCACATTTCAAGTAAATCTTTATAAAAATAACGATGAAATATATGATTGAAAATAAATTCGAAAGAAAATGAGGGCCAGAAGGTAGTCTCTCACAAGTTGTTTTATTTATAATTCATTGAAAATAAATTTGAAAGAAAATGAGGGTCAAAAGGTAGTCTCACACGAATTATTTTATTTATAATTCAGCCTAGAATTATTCCATTATTTTATATTCCAATTGTAGGAATTGGTTCAAATAATTAATCAAAAATTGAAAAATGAAAAATGTGTGTAAAAGTGGAAAATGAAAAGGTGTGACTACGTGTCAACTTTGACCAAATAGTCGGACTTGATCCGATGGTCAAATTACAAAAGTCAATAGACCAACTTATTCTACTCGTCGAATAGATCGTCTGGTATATTTGAAATCTCGAAACCAATTCCGGATGAATGAGAAATTGCGGACCAAAGTTGGAAGAAATGAAGTGTTGCAACTTTTCGAAAGGATGCAGATTTTGGCCAAATATTGCAAATTTTTGAAAGGATGCATGTTTTGGCCTACAGTATTTCATTTGCACCATTTCTACATCTATAAATAAAACCTTATAGACATAGTTTTGAGTACACCAATTGCATTGAACATTCATTCTCCTCTTGCAATTCTCTCCTTTCTAATTCCATAGCATTTTTATGCATTTTCTTTGTAAAGGGAAAATTATGTCAAAAGTTCGTCGGTTTCTTCTGATTTGAAGTACTACTACCACAAGTTGTGAATCCATTGTATTTTGGAAGATAAGTGCCATTCACCGTGAGTATCATAGCGGGGCAATTTGTCTCAAGGAAAAAGATAACGTCTCGCCTTGAATTATTCTCTATTTCTACTCCTTCTTAATCCTTGTTTTGTGTAATCGTTATATCGAAACTCTGTCCAAATTTCCATTCATATAAATTGTGTTTTGATCACGCTCTTGCGCGTTAAAATGGGTCAAACAAATGTATCAAAAACCAACCTTTACATAGCCTTTTTTATAAGTCGTCTCTAACAAACTTAAGACAAATGTGTTTTTGTGGTTGGTTGTGGACAACCATTACTTTGTTTGAATAGTGCTTTGTGTACTATTCCTTCCTGATATTATCATCATTTTGTTGAACTTCTGTTTGT